ATATTGTACATACAAATAAATGTATATACAGGATTTCTGGAATGGCTTAACAAGTACAGCTTATAGTCAGACACCTATAGTACTGGTTTGAAGCTGGTTTCCTTACTTGGCTGTGACCAGAATTCACCAATCACTACTGGGTTTGGGTGGACATGAGTTAATTCCTGATGCACTGCATTGGACTAAAATGGCGAATGGCTCTAACAAGTGGGCATTATGGAGAAAAGCATTTGCAGTTCTCATGTTATTGTGCTGCTGCGAGGGTGGCAGTGATGAGCTGAGAAGATGGACAGTTTGCAGTGAAGCAAGAAGGTAGTTGACGAACACGGAGCAATTACATTTTTTAATTATTTGAAAGGGGGGGGCCACCAAAATGATTTTGTCAGGAAAACAACTCTGATTAACCGGAAGCTTTCATTCTTCTTCTTCTCGGGATAAGCTCTTCTGTGGCTTAAACTAATATTTCTTACATTAAAACAAGTTTTTAAATCTGTCAGTGTTTTTTGCTGAGTGTGGGGGATACAAGCTCAAAGTCAATAGAATGTACTGTAATTTGTGAAGACATTATCGCTGTTAACATTAAATGTTTACACAGCTACAGTACACTATTACAAACCTGGGAAGAATGATAGAATTAATGTAAGACAGTGGAAAAAGACAGACTAGTCCATGGCTGTCATTGATATCAATGTGCTGCTATTGTTTCGTTTTGCTATTAAGTGACAAATGTGTGTAAAACATACAAGGAATGTTTTTAGAGGCAAGGTATACATGGAACCACTGTAGATGAGAATAGTAACTAATGTGAAACACAATACACGCATTCTGTCATTCCTGCTGAAGACCGAACCAAATCGCAACCAGACCTAAAATAAACTTTTTAAGTATTTTCTTAAATGCCATTTACTTTTGCATTCTGCACTACTGTTTAAATTCCTGTTCAGGTTTGTGCAGACTTTGTTCACCCTTTGAGCTAAACGTCTAGGGCCAACATTCAGTACATACGAGAGTACTAAACTGCGCTGGTAGGTTTTGTCCTCTCCTGAAAAATAAATTTACTTTAGTGTGGTTGAAGTGCTCAGTATAAAAGAACACGAGTCATTCTTCAGAGCCATTCACTAAAATGAAGGGGCACATTTACCCAAAAACATGTGGCCCAAGCCTATATATAACCCTAAATAACACTTCTCATTCTACTTTAATGCATGTTCATTTAGGAAATAAAAATTGAGACAAATCACAACAATGGCTCTAAATTCATGCATGGATAATGATGCTTGGATATTAGCCTGCATTTTGTAGTTTAAATTAAAACGGTCTTTGATCTAGAAAATAAAAGGCAGCCTTTTTATGAGTATTAAAAGATCTCATTATCATGGATCGCACTTTGAATTCCTTTTTTGTTTAAAGTAATTAAATGATAATGGATTATGCTGCTTTTTTTGTGTTGTTTTGGGGGCATTAGTCTTATCGCTCAGGTAACGGCCTTATAATAGAAACTGCATATTGATTGGAAAAGCTGAGCTGTTTTAGCAATGTGAATACAGCCAAGCATCTCGTCTCATCGCAGTAGCAAGCAACTGAGAATTACTTTTGTGTGTTTTAAATTAATATTGTGTATCTCTATCTTCAGTGTTGCTTTTCAAGCATGATTAACCGCTATTTGCAATTCAAAGTGAAAAGGGGACTAAAATGAGGGGTATCCATTTCTTTACTGCTTTTCATTGTTAGCATTCATAAATAAAAGAGGCAGATTGCTCTGGTTTACTATTTTAACAAACTTCCAGGATACACAGAAAAGCCTTTAACACTTCTGTGTGTTGCTTGCCTTACTAAAATGGCTACCTCTAAAACCAACACATGGGATTGACACATTTTTAAATACTTTTAGAGTTGTGTGTTCAGCCATCAGCCTTTGTTGTTTGTCATTTCCTTTGTCCTTCAGATCCAAACTGTTTTTGGCAGTCTAGATTACCTTCCTTAGTTCTGAGGATTTAAGTGGGACGTTTCTTACAGTGTGTGATTTGCACTGTAAGACTGAACCTGATGTCTTTAAAAAAATGAATGGCCACATTGCTTTATTAAGCATTCTGTCCAACAATTATCAGAAAAAGCTGCAGAATTAAATAGTAATAACCTGAAACATCTGTAATCAAATTAATCATCAATATTTAAGATGTTTAAGAATTTCAAGTGATCAGTTACAGGTTAATGAACTGATATGGGTATTTTGGCTTCGCTAGAGCAGGAACAAACTTTTGAAGGCAGCAGTGTGGAATGGTTAGGACTCCTGACCTGGAGTCAGGAGAGGATCGTGGGTACAACAGAGATGCATATTGTACCCTCGAACAAGGTATATTAGATTAATCTAGTAGATGTCCCACTGCATAAACAGGTCTCAGGGACATCACAGTTGATTTCTCAACTGATATATCTAAATAAGTCTATAAAATTAATACGAATTAACACGTCATTGTAGTGGGATGGGAAATTTGTTTGCATTGGTTAAATAAAATAAATAAAAGTTCAAGCGTAACGGGTAACTGCTATTTGTCTTGGAAATATTTTAATATGAAGGATTTAGGGAATGTCAGATAAATGAATAAATATTGAGAATAATCACTCTTGCCTTTCAGTGTTCACTGAGACCCATATTCATGGACGCTCAAATCATTTTTTGATCTTTGTTTCTAATGATCCATGTCTCCTGAAAGACTTGACTGTTAAATATTTACAGGATTCTTAAAAGATGTCTGAGACCTTTTCTAAATGAAACAGGCTCAAGATAGGGAGCATCTGGACTGCTTTCTTCTCTCTTCCCTCTTTAATTACACAACACAATGCAGATATTATCTGCCTGTAATCTTGTAGTGTAATCAGTCTCCTTTTTTCTACCTCTGCTAATTCAATATAAATGTAAATTACCAACCAAAAGGGGAATAAAGAAATCTCATTTTTATTTACATGACTAATCGCAATGAGATGTTACCATATGAAATATGAATGGTATATATAAGATTCCTATAAGAAAAAAAGCCACCAAAGTGGATGGAGGCAACATTCGAACTCTTTTCTTTTTGGTGTTGTGCACTGGTACACATATTAAATATGCACATGCTTTCTGAAGAGTGTAGAATATGATTGAACGGCCTCTCATTTCAATTTCCGTACATCAAGGGCACGCCAAGGTATTGCGCTGATAGGGGGGTTAAGGGACACTTCAAATGTTAGTAGAATTTTAATGTTGAATTATATGTCGGCACTTTTATAATATGCCGTTAAGCAACTGAATAGAGATGCATTGTATGAAATGTTGACACTAACAAGTTCCATGTGTTTTATCATGCTTTTTTAAGTGCGTATTACTGGATTTTGTTTTTCTACTAAAAAGGTACAGTATCAAAATATCTTTTTGCTTGTATTTTTCAGTTGTGGTATATGTGGATGTTGCTTGAATAAAGTGTTACTTTTTGTTTCATATGTGCCTGTACCATTACATTTACCATGGTCAATTTGCAAGGCAATTTTGCACTTGAACGGTGGTTTTATTCTATTATTTTGTAAATCAAAATACAACCTTCACTTTCCTAACTCTCAAACCTACTTTACTGTAATTAACAACAATGTATCTTAATAAACATGTTTTTACAAGGATTATAAACATGTACTGAGCATCAAAGAAACTTATGTATGTCTGTAGAGATACAGTAAATAAGGATTTGGGATCTTTATTAATTCTTTTTTGGCGTCATTGTAATTAGTGGATCATTCATGACTGGCTGTGATGCGCAAGAGCACCTGTTGCATAAACACTAAATAACTTCATTAGTGACAGACTGGGCACAGGTCATTGAGGTAACCTGTTGAATTTCAAATCTGGTGAAAATCTAGGAAGAAAAACAGGAAGGAATTAATATGCTCCATTTATCTAGGGAAAAATGTCTTTGTGGCATTGGAGCAACACCCCAGTTGCACTTATCAGCAGTAGACAAATTCTCATTAGCAGCTGATTAAGGTTTTGTGTAAATCACTCTAGTGAATGTGAATAGGTCTGGGTGTGCAGAGTGATGGGATGACCTTGGTAGGAGTGTGGAGTTGCAGCAGAACTTCACCTGTAATAACTGAGAGCCACCTGACTGCGCAGGACTTGAAAACGCACTTGATACACTGCCCATGGGCTCTTACAGGTAACCTTCCAGCAGGACAGTGTCCTTTCTTGTGTCATCCATGTAACAGTGGAACTAGAATCTGACAGGTGTGCTGGTGTGCTGTGGATGCCCTATTTACCATACTGGAAAACCATTATGGCATGAAGGATCCTCCAGATTATTATATTATTTGGATGACATGTGGTATCTACTGCTCAGAGACCAGTGACCTACAGTACCAGAGGCATGTGAGAGAATCCCACAACCCACATGCAGCCCTTGGCAAAGCAGTGTCACAGACGTGCAGCTTGTGTTGCTTCTAGGCCACACATACTAGTAGCCTGTAAATTTCACAGTAGACCCTCTGATGAGGAGAAATGTAATTAGCACAATAAATTTACACATAAGAATAACAGGACATCAAGATTGTAATTTTTCCCCATAGCTTGGTGAATATGTCATTTCTTTTGATGCTCAGTATACAGTGTAGATTTGAGACACAAAATAAGAGCTTGACATTGTCAAGGAAACAGTCAAACAAGGTCAAGGTCAAACAAGGATGAGTGTGAAACGTGAGATTGTGCAATTACCGTGAAAGTTTAAAATGGTAGGTTTCTCTAAGTGTAGTTACATTTCATAAGGTCTGGAATGCCTTAAAACCAAAAAATGCAACCTCAGCACTAAATACCGTGGAATAATAGAAATGTTAATTCATATAATTAATACGCTGTATTCATATTAATTACGATATTATATGAATTATTATGAATAGCCATTTAATATAATGAACATTTTTTGGAGTAAAGTTACAGTTTAAAAAATCTGTTTCCCTTATTATTGTCGATCCCCCAGGAGTGGCTAACGAGGAGGCACTGGAACAAGAACGCAGACGCCGGAGGCAAAACGCCCTGCCGGCCCAGGCCTCCGCGCCCGGCTACCTGAGAAACACCACCTCGGGCCACACAGAGGGGGAGGAAGGGCGGGGAGCTCAGGGCATCGTCTCCGGAGCCGCCAGAGGTGTGAAACCCCGCGCTGTGTTGCGTTCGTGCCTGAAGAAGAAAGAGCAGGAGCCGAGAGCCCAGCGCACAGAGACCCCGACTGCTGTGTAGAGCTTTAGGGCAACAGACGTTCATGACAGTCTCACAGCCAGACACATTCTTGAGCTTACTCTGATTTTTATCGCTCTTACCCCCCTCGTCTGCACTTAAACACACCAGTCCGGTTGGTGAGTTCTGTAATGACAACTGTGCTAAACAGACGGCTCACACATTCGGATATATTCGGATATAGTTAGGATATATGATAGTATATACCTGTATGGTCTGATAATCTAATTACTGTTTTGGTCACAAGGTAACATGAAGAGGTGAAGGTAAATGGCAAACTTTCTGAAAAGGAATTGAGATATATCCATATATCCGCTTAAAGTTCTGGGCTGGAGATACTAAACCAGGACAGGGTGGATTACAAGTTTCTGCTAATGCAAATAAGTATGATGCAGTAGTGCAACACAAAACCAACAGAACTATCCAAAGAACTGTTAGGCTACTCCAATAATGTGGTTCCCTGAAACAGACCAGAACACCAGCCAGTTAGACCAGTCCCCCTGGGTGGACTGAGTAATTACAGTATACCAGCACTGCTGACAACAGGCACGTCAGGAGTGCAGTGCCCTATCTCTGCCCCCCAAGGAAATATTGTCCTGGCATGAGTCCTGTTCACCTTCTGCCACAGGGTGAATCTAAGGGTACACTTTTTTTTTCAAGAAAACAAGGTTTCTGGAATAATCTGTCATCTTTCATTTAGAAGAGTAACCACCAGCCAATGGGATAGTGTACCAAGGCTGTCACATGTAGGCCAAGCAGGAAGAGTTGTTTGTGGGTGCCAGAAGAGGTATCAAGTATAAGAACAGAGTACAGAAACAGGTTTTAAAATACCTCCTCCAATTGTCTTGAGTTCAGCATTCAAGGATATGTTGATGGTAACAGATATTTTAGCTTTCCACATTTTCAGTTTTCAATATCTGTGCTTTCTGTGTTGCCTTTTTATCTCCTAAAATGAGAGGGGAATGACAATGAATGTGTGATATATATTTTTTCTTGTTGTTGACAGCTGCCTAATTTATTATACCAGTTACATAGGCACTGTATAATTGGAATACATGTCATGTCAGGAAGGTCAGCCAGTTGTTTTCACCAAAGTACAGCAGAGAAAAGGCAATTACAAGAAATGGTTTCATTGCAGTGTCCAACATTTCTTTGTTGTTCAGCTTTCCCTGTCTTAAACTCTTGAATTTCTCCTATACGTATCATGTTGATATCAGTCATGTTCTGTGAAGCTTTGTTTTAACTCCGGAATGTATAGTACTCTGAGTTTTGACTCACTAAAAATCAGATATTGCTTAGCTTCTGTGGGTTGCCAGTTGTGAGCTGCAGGGTGATACGGCTGCTGGTTAAGTATTGAACCGACAGTTTTGTATTCTTACCACACTTACACAATCACTAATTTCACTAAATTTAACCAATTCTTTTTTTTTTACCTAAGAGAAACATTATAATACCCACTCCAGCCCATCTATAAATCTGGTGTAAAGAATATGTAATTGAAAACAATTACTAGGTTGAATTCTGTGTTTTCCTCTAGCTGCCTAAAAAGATTGTACCACTTTTTTTATCAAGCAGTTGCCTTAAAAATACTCTTTGCCACGAAAACAGTGTTGGACAGCCTGCATTGTAATGAGCTCCAAACAGTATTTTCATCAGCCATCTTTTCCCCAGGCCACTTTGATAACAAGAGGAAGAAGCTGCGACAAAAGGAAGAGTCAAGAAAGAAAAAGTCCTCAAGATGGGCTCACCGGGATGGAACACCATTTTAAAAATGTTGGACCCAGGCAGCGGCACCTGCATGAGGGGAGGTTTAAATATAGATTTAAGAGAAAAAAAGGGCCATTTTCCTTTTAGGATGACCCATTTCTTCTTCCCTGGCTTTCAACTCTTCACTGCGCTTGTTAATGTTATTTTATTTAAAAATCCAAATTGTTAAATGTTACCAGAAAGTAAGACTAGACCTTTGTGCCAAAGTGTATTTTGAACTGTTTTGTCATTTTTTTGCATCGATTTATATATATTTTTTATACCTGGGATAAAAAGCCACCAAAATATATTAACAAGTCGCCCATAGCCATTAGAGACCCATGAGATTTATTTTAATAAGAGACACAATAATAAACATTGTTTAAACATATGCCATGAATAAAAACCTGGTAATCCTGGAAGAATTCTCCCAGTGGCTACACACCCTTATGAATCACTCTCATCCAGTTCAGGAGACATTTTGTAAGCACTTGTCATACAGTTGCTACAGGGATGTGGTTTTATTAATTTGTGATGACCCTAAATGCGGGCGCAGAAGTAGATACCTTCTTTCGACAATTACTGCAGTCTCAAGTGCACACATAACTTAAGTGGCTCCTTTCTTGATTGTCTTCAAACACAGGTTATTTAACTATGCTTAAGCTAGTTATTTTTGTGTATTTTCCAAAAGGATTGTTTCTGTCAACTAGTTTTAGAGACAACATCTAGACTGTTTGGAAGAGCTCATTTGTTTCTTAAGTAGTTTCCAGTAGGGATGGGTTCTAATCATTTTGGATGTTTGTCTGTCTCTTTTTGTGACAATTGCCATGGCTTAAGAGTGTCTTGAACTGACAAATGATTGCTACTCCAGGTAGCATTAAAGATAGAAAGCTAGAGTATATTTGGCAGAACTGGCAATGTGAGGGTTAGGGCTACTATAAATAAAGGCACCATGGAAATTTAAGTGCATTGTTTATTCATTTCTATCGCCTATCATGCAAAATGACTTAGAATTGCAGACTGTCTTTAAAGAATAGAAATTATTTCTTGAGACTGCAAGTGTAACCTTTCAAAGGCAGTAGAGAGCCAACTGCAAAAGCACGCAAATCACACCCCTGTCACAAGGGAAGGACATCGATGAAAGTAAAGGCAGGTAAAATAAAAGAGGAGTTTCATAAATAATTAACCACTGAATTGAGAAACCGAAGTGTCACTAAAAGAGCTGTCCCTTACCGTCAACAAAAGCTTCACATAAATATTTTAAGACTAATATACTGTATGTGGTTGAAGGACATAAATTGTGACCTGGTGCAAAGAGTGTAAAACGTTTCCTGGGATGTGCCTTACTGCATTGTTTTAATTAGTTTTTTAGAAGAAGTGGATTTAAAAAACAAAGACTGCATCCGCATTATTTTTTAATCCATTTCAATTTTTTTGGGAGCACAGACATACACTAATAAGATCTCCATAAAGCGGTGAGATCACGGCGGAGAGTCAAGAGCCCTTCACTTACAAAACACATTTAAATTCTGAAAGTTTCCTTATCATGACTGTCACTGAAGTTGAGAGCGTTTGGATATTACCAAATTAGTTTTCTGAGCAAACATGCACTAAGCAGACAAAGGTACTGTGTGTGTTGAAGTGTATTGATTTTCTACGCTGAATACAAGATGACTTTGATTGCACTCAAGAGAATTATATTGGGACTGTGTGGCACATTTCTAGACACTTTGGGCAAAATTACAATCTTTCCTTCCTTTCTGTTTTTAATATTCATTAATTACTGCATGAGTACCAGCTTTATTTCCTCTCATAAGGTTTGTTTATTTAAACCTTTTAAACCTACGCTACCTAGTACAGCCTTCAGCGTCAAATCACTATTTTTCTTTTTCTTTCAAAGCCAGACAAATGTGATTATAGTTGTTGTTTTGTGCAAGTGTGCTGTATGTGTGCAGACATGTGAAACTCTTTTGAAACTGCTTTTGTAGAGCAATAGGAATTTTTATTTGTCTTTTCTATGAACACATCCCAATAAAGCAGTAATAAAACTTTTTTTTTGCTTTTATTTTGAAACCGTTGATAGTCAAGTCTTGAAGACCATAACTTACTTTACGATGGCTGTTGTTTGGAATGGCGGAGTAACATTTTTCCCTTTATAAAACATTCTTATTTTGACAAAAGTCATGGACACTTTTGCCTTTCCAAGCTATTTTTAAAGTGCTGGGTTTCTGTGGTGATAAGAGAATGTCTTATTCTCCACTTTCTATCCTCCTCCTCCATACGTAAATCCAGTTAAAATAATTAGGAATCCTACATTGATAGACTTTTACGGATCATGACATTTCAGGCAGGTTTCCATTTACTTAGGTAGTGGATATTGTTTAATTCACACATTGTATATTCTGTACGTGGTTCAGGGATTGATGTGAGTCTCCTCTCTTCCCTTGGGGTTAAATTTCTGTATGATATAGAAGTGGACTTACTCAAAATAATTTTATCATGTTTAAATTTGTAAAATAAGCCATTTCATATCCTTTTAATGAAATCTGGCATTTAAAATTCCAAATATAGGGTAAGATAGAGGGGTTGAAAATTTAGGACTTAACCAACCATACCAGGTATTCTCAGCTCTTCTCCTTAAAAGCTAAAAGCTCTTTTTACTCATGACACCCCAATTAATAAATGTATTTCTGTAATTGGACCAATTGAATGTTTTTTCCCCAGGATGATGCCTGTTGGATTGGAACACCCACCTGGATGATGTGCAATAGCCATTATTCACCAGCACTGACACGGCTCAAAACGTCAGATGAGAAGTGAGAAACTGCTTCTCAAGTTAAATAAAGGGGAAATGTACTGTAAGTAGGCCAGGATGTGCAATCCCAGTGGAATTCAAGCCTCCACGAATAGTGCCATTAGACCTTCAATGGCAAAGCAGTCTGGATCTTTAATATCTCGTTTGAAGAACAGATCTCCTGCAACACAATGTCTCTGTTTACCATACTGGAGCTTCAGGTCTTTGAAATTCTGGTCCAGCAGCACCAACCATATTTACAAATATTAACCATGATTGTTCCTAAAAGTTTAAAATGACTTTGCTCCACTTACTACTTTGATCTCCAATAGGTTCCCATCTTTTCAGTGTGTTACTGCGCTGAGTGTATATGATATTATTAATTTTTATGGTGGTAATATTTATATATATATAGTCAGTGGCAGACCATCCAAGTCATATCTTGCCTTGCACCTGTTGCTTGCTGGGATAGGTTCTGGCTCCCCTGCAACCCTTAATTGCATAAAGCAGTTAGTCAATGAGTTGATATACTGTATTACCCTCGCATCGTCATTCCCAAAAATGCTTTTCAGACACCAGGGAATCCTTTGAAATTGTTCATGGCTCCTTGGAAATGCATGGATTGTTTTGTATTAGCAGCCCAAGTAGTATGCAAAATCAATACTCCAAGGTATTGGATCTGAAAATGCTTACAATAAATCTGTTGACATGCAAGTTTGATTTTTCAATTTGATGACTGTGGTTAAACTGGGAACCTTCTGAGCGGTGGTCTCCCCACGAATGATCCCTTAGCCAAAAAAAGGTCAGAGAATCTATGGTGCAATTTGCACTTACCCCTACGGAATTCATCTCCGGAGATAATGTGTCTTTGTCTCATACTTCTGTTTCCCATTTAAAAAAAAAAACTAAAGGTCTGAGGAAACAAGGCAGATTGCTTTTTGCTTCATGTCTCAACCACCGGCTGTTTTGTAACATTGCTCACTAATTCCAGACTCCATTTAACCCAGTCCTGGTTTATTATTTGGCTTGTTGAACGTTTATTTTCACTTCATATTTAATGAGACATCCTGATAACAATTCTTTCAACGGAATGGAGATGCATGTAACGTACTACCATAATAACTGCAATATTTAAATGATTCTAGTGATGGCAATAGAAAACATCCTACACCCAGAAGGCACATGAACATGTTTTGTTAAATTGCATTCTAGTGAAAAACACAATTACTGCGATTTGTCTTTAAAGGAAGGTATGGCATTCTGTGTTCGTGAATGCTTCATTTTTTTGATGAGTTGCTTTCATATATCTACAGTAAATGTCAGGGTGGCTTATTTTAAAGTGGGCTTAAAATTTTTTATTTTTTTCAGGAAAAAGAAAGCATATTACAGTACATAGTACCCTAAACAATAATGAACAAATGTGAACAATCAATTTCACTAACATCCTGTAACCTTGATGCACTTAAACTTACTTCCTCTTCTCCCAGCCTCTACATGCTTACCCAGCTCTGTCCACACTGCCTCCCTCCTGGAGTTTTATACTGGTCAGGAAAGTGAAATTTCAGGGTGCCCAGAGGATACGTCATTGGGCAGGACCAAAGACCAATGATGCAACTGTAAAAACAAAAACATCTATTGTCCGTTGATGATAAATGTCTTCTCGTGAGCATTTTTTTTTGACTGAAATGAAGTCTGAGCACATCCTTGTATGTATGCATGCAAAGTTAAATGTCACTCCAGATGTGTAAACAGTTAATTATGGTATGAGCTTTTGCTTGTGTTGTCAGCAGGAAGAGAGCTTGTGTAAGTCCAGTACAGTTTGCCTCCAGCAAGGTGGTGTGAGCACAGCATGGATGAGCAGATGCATTTTAATCAATAAAAGCAAAGCTCACCCCAGTTACCATGACTCCAGATCAGTTATTGAGGCTCCTGTTGTGCCGTACATCATCATGCAGTATGGTGCATTTTTTTCTGTGCTTTGTTCTTCAAACTTCATTTGAAACTCACATACACAAAGAGGTTCATTAGTGGATCAGAAGAGATTTGATTAGAGATGAGGGTGTTCATGCCATACTTTGAACAAATGTGCACATTGGTTGAGTACTCTCATTACAAGAATGGATGGGTTTTGTGTTCATTTTTTTCCATTTCTTATCAGCCACTCGTGCTGCCTCGTAGCCATATCGCACGTTTGCACCCAGGCCTCTTGTGTTGGCCTCCTGGAACTGATATCTGTTGCTAGGCTCCAGATTCCCTCTAAGGAACAGATTGTGCTGGGCAGCCCCAGCCCTGTCTCACAACGGCAATCCGATTGGCTGCCATGTTGTTGAGGAGATACAGTACAGCTCTGTGCAGGGACAGGCATGGCCTGCACCTGAGATTAACCCCTGCATTTGCAGGCTAGGGAATTCCCCCCAGGGAATGCTGCCCAGCCATCTACTTTCCCCTTCTGACTGAAACGGACAAGATGAAATATTCTAGTGTCTAAAACACTCTAAGTCAATGACAAATTAGTGGGAGAAAAGAACATACAGTAGCTGTCCAGTAAATACTGGAACATTTCTTAGTGCTCTGGCAGGATTTTGTTGTGTTTTTTTTTTCAAGCAGTTGTTTTACCACTGTGTAGTAATTTGTGCATTATAAGGAAAAAAAACCCTAAGGAATTTAATGAAGATAAAGGAGGATTTGGGCAGTCACATTATGATAAGTGTTGCTTCTTGAAACCTGCACTAATGGTAAAGTAATGGAAAACTCTTTTCACTAATTTCTGTGGCAAAATATGAATTAATTGCCACAGTGCCTCTGGGGTATTTAAAGTAACTACTCAGTATGCTTCTACTTAAATGTATAATTCAGTTGCACAGCCTAGAAATGAGTAACACATAACAGACCAACAGGGTGAGTTTTAGTGCTGTCCTCTTCAGGCGCAAAATACAAAATTTGCTCCTATGTACATTTGCTCTAATGGTTTGCAATATTAAACTTTCAGAAAATCCGAAGTGAGGAGCTGAAAAGTTTGAAAATATTCCTTAAAAGTGGTGGCACCTAATAAAAATCTAACATTAAAGATCAATAACCAAAACTGAACAGAAGACTGATGTATGCCTGAGATGCCTGGAATAAGTTTTAAAAAAAGAAAAGATCACTTTCTTTTCACTAGCCTAATTTTTACTTGTATAGAGAAACCAATCAATCAATTCCTCAAGATAGGAAACCCACTCAGACCTATTACAAACATTCGGTATCCATTTATGATCTGTCTGACTCCCACTTACTACATGTATCACCATTATCATCTGCCTCAGTAGCTAGTGATCACGAATGGCAAAGAAAGGATATTTAAAGGTTCCTCCAACAATCAAGCCTGCTGTGCATTTACATTAATTTCCTCCTCTTCAGCCTCTTTATCTTCATCTGACAGTGAAATCAGCAGCTACCCTTGGTGATACAGAGGCAGGCCTGGGATCAATGAGTTATTTTTTAGGGCAGGGGCACCACAAAGGATGAAAAACAGTACTTAAATTATGCAACAGCTTCACAATTTACTTCAATAAGTATGTTATCAAAAGACGTCATCAGGGACTGAGGAAATGAAACCTACTATGACTGAACTAGACACGGGAAAATACACTCAACAGAGATTGAGTGACAATTCCGTTCATTAACAGCTTAAATGTTTTTAGCTGCCTTGAAAGTGACTTGGGTATGTGAAAGTACATGTGTGTATTTAGGTGGTGAGGGTGACTGTGTGTAAAATACAAGTACATCTGTGTACAGTATATACAAGTAGAGTCCTTCATTCTATCATCTTTATTCTGAACAGGTATGATTAACAAAATATCATTGGTTCCAGCAGATATAATATTTCTATTTAAAAACAAACCAGTTCTAGTTGTGTTTTAAAGCATCCTGTGAAAATAATGGATGTCAGAAAAACATTTGCTCTTTAATGTTGGTTTTTACCAGTGGGTATAAAAAGTTGGTTAGAAAACCTACAAACACTACTGAGCTTCACTGCTCTGCACTCTAAACAAATCCAAACTGAATAAAATTAGACTTTATAACCATTGTATTAATGTCCCTGTGGAATGAATACTAATTGTGCAGATAAGTGTTCATTTTCAGTCCCCTTGACTTATAAAGTACTGTTCTGATGTTTTCACTTTGCTGGCTTTTTCAAACTATACTTTTTCTGCTCTTCTATGCCATAACTGATTTTTCTCAGTTGTACATTTTCAGTATCTTTTTCTTATT